TTGCGTAAGATGCGTGAGATTTTGGTTCTTACTTCATTGGCTTCCTTAACGGGGATGGCCAACAAATGTTCTTCTATTGCAGGAATGACGTTGAGGAATGACGTCGAAATTTTTCGAAATGATCCGGAACACCTATGGGTTATTAACTGTTTAGACTTATAAACTGTTTTTCCTACAGATCAAACTTATACTGACAACTGAGCCTTCTCCGTTTACAAAAGCACAGAATGATGCGAGGGTGAGACTTCGCTTACTAAGAATGGTATTCTATTACACTAATCCGTTTTATTCCATAGGTATTGACTTCTTCCTAAACATTTTTCGCTTGCGAACTACCTGTGAGCAAAGAATTTGCTAAACTTTGGAATCATACCATAGGTCTAATTAAAAATGCATCCATTGTAATCTACCAGCCATCATTTCCGGAAGGGATTCATATTTCATAAAATCTTTCAAGAAAGAATCAGAAATATGCTCGTAGAGTGATAGTGGTGAAAATTTTATACAATAATGATTTGAAATTTCGAAATATGTTCATACTCGCAGTTATCGAAAACAATTGTTCGCCTGAAATTGTATTCTAAATAATGGTTTGATGTTTTACGACTTTATCCGCAATTAGTTGGAAAGGGAAAGAATTGATGGTTCGGGGAATTTCTCACGTTTTATTGAGTTTAAAAGTTACTCATCAAATCAGACTTTTACTGCAATAACTCTTGAACATATAAGTACATAGAGATTTTTGCTCAAAATTAATTTATTTTTCATCAAAATAAATTTTCTCCATAACCTCTTTTAAAAATCACCTGCAACATGTTTTATTTTCATTTCAAACGTATTCTACCATCTCCTACCTTTCAAACAGGAAATGACAGCGCGTGGTACGGAATCCGAATTGGCCCATTTAATTGCCAAACATCAGGCTGAGATGCGCCACCTACGCCAATCTTGCGCAGAACAGGTTCGGGCGGCAGATGGTCGAGCCTATCAAACTTACACCGGACAGATAGAGGAAATTCGTCAAACTTTGACGCGGGAGAAAGAGGAGGCTTGTGCGAGAGAACGGGAAGCTGCTACGCAAAGGTCCCGCTTTGTTTGACAGCAGCTCGTTGATATCTTATCTTACTTTTCGACGCGATTCTTTTTGTCCGGTTTGTCAGAGAACCATGTTAAAATTACTTACATTTTCGGATTGGGTGGTGAGAGCTCAAATCCGGCCACAGCTTGTTCGCATCGGGTGTCCCTTGACTGATCGGTCTCGCTGTAGATCTTACGAGTATCTACTGGCCTAATAGTTATTGATCTGTATTTTACCCACTGACCCTGTAAATTGTGTTCACGGAATTGCAGTCAGCCCGTTCAGTGGCTTGTGTTCTTCGTAATCAGGGGCGCACAGTTACAACAGCTTTCTTCTTCAAGTCACTGTTCTTTTTCTTGCTAGATATAGCACTGCAAAAATTGTATTCTATTCGGTTAACGTATACAGTCATAATAGGTGCAGATTATATTCCTTCGACCGGTGAAAACTTAGAACTCTGTCAACCGAGTTACTCCTGTCAGTGTACGTCCGACAGCAGAACTCGATACCACTTCTCTTTGTTCAATTTATTACTTTTATCCACAATTCAGAATGCTTGTGGTCTCCGTCAGCAAGCAATCTAACGGTTCACATTCTGCACTAGTTACCCAAGTATATCTAATATATATATCTAATATATATATATATATATGTATATCTAATAGTGTATGCAGGTCTATTTACATTTTGATTAGAAACCCGGAACAGGTGGGTCGATCCTTAGGTATACTTTTCGATACTCGTGCTAGTCTCGAATCGAGCATCGTTGCTTCAGGTGTGTCCGACTCAGATGTGCTCCTAATCCATGCGATTGGTTTGCACTCAAGGAAGTTGCACCTCGGGCAGACAAATGCCCGTTGCTTGTTGACTATTTTGCCTCTGAGTTTTGTGATTCGGTAAATGAAGAGGAATAATGAAGTTTGTCGATCGAGTTTCCGCTTTCAGTCAATCAGGCAAAAATAATTTCCGGATCATTCAAACCTGTAAATTTCTCTCTGATCTAGTTCAAGTAGCCGTTTCGTCTGAACGTGACTGTTTCAGCCTATTTTACAGTTGTGATCCCTACAAGAAACGCAACATTTGCAATTCAATTTGTTAATTAACCCGGGTGAGATAAATCAGGGTGAATAAAGTTTTTTCTATTATCTGCCAATGAATCGCATTAAGATCATACAGCTTGCTTTTCGTAAGCATAAAAAATCTTAGTAACAAGTAAGTGACGTTTGAAAAATGTTTTTCTATAGCTTCCTTTTCAGATCATTCATTACAACTTATTTTGCTGCTGAGTCTATCTTTATTCGAAAAAGCTGTCGGTATATTCCTTTCATTAAGTTTNTTTTCCGAAAGCCACCATTCTGCTGTTACTTCAACTGCAGATCGAATGGAAACCAATATCGCTTTCCAGTATACTCGTTAATTGCTTAATTGATGACAATTGTTCCATTTCTCTGGTTTCAAACGTCAAGCAAGGACTATGTATTTCATTTTCTTTCTTTCGTTTCAGGAAGGAGCTAAAAACACCTTTGTTCTCTCCATCTGGTTCTTTATCATACATACTGATGAGATCGCATCAACCAGTTCTATTTGCTCAGTATGCTTCAAAAGTTATGAAAGATATGTGAAACCTTTTGGAAATTCATTACCGGGTTAAAACGGGATCATTAACTTATCCAGGATTTAAAGTGTTCTTCCTGTAGAGTTTTAAATAGGCTTAATAAAGCAAGCCATATTAGATTACCTCAAATTCATGTTTTATTGTTGCACTGTGGCTCAGCTATTGAACGTCAGATGGAGATCCTGGCTCCTATTAAACCATGGTTCGCGTGGAAACTTGCCCATGGGAACTAAGAATAGCGCTGCACGTAAATAAATTCTATCTCCATGAGTTAAGGAAACACAAATGGACATTCCATGCACTGTTTAGCTTTATTTCCTCATATTACTGAAGGTTACACCTTAGATGTTTGTCAAATAACGAGGAGGGGATTAGGAACGAAACTTGCAGAACAACTTAAAATTGAGAATTCACCTTTGTCTCTGTAACCGAAGCTCCACAAACCTCAAATACGTTTGATTTGATACAGTTGATCATTCCAAGAACTTTTCAAATATGTCTGCCATATCAACTGGCGTGTTCATGAGTTATCTCATATTTTTGACTAAATCCAGTGGTAAAACAGTATCACTCTAATCGATAAGAATAATCTTCATGCTTATCAATTCAGAATAGCATTCAACTTCTTGACTCTACTCGTGGGCCCATCGGAAAATAGTGACTATTTCTATTCGCTTCATAAAATTCAAAGAACTGTAAATATAATCGATCCCTTAGAAAATAATAAATATTTATTCAGATGACGCGTTATTTCTAAATTAGCTCTTGAAATTTATCAGATCTACGGTTAAGCGAATGTATGAGGGCTTTGTGCACAACCGCATCCGTCATCTCGGTGACATCTAAGACATTGTCTGAGATCACGCGAAGTTAAAGAATGGAAGTGCCGGCACCCGCATTTTTCGTATCGGCCTGCTTGTCAAATTTGCAAATCAGCCGATGCACAGATTGCCTACTGATTATAACGCAACTCGGTTAAAACACGTGCGTTATCCACTCAATGAATTGAACATAGCATTGAGTATTAACAGTTCACATTTGTAACTGTTGATTCTGGTTTGAGTGCGTATAAAAGAGAACAAGTGTCACCTGCTGAGTAGATGACTTCATCAAATCAATCGATATAGATACACCAATCAAATGACTGTTTACTACTTATGAATATTTACTCAAACGTTTTATTTATTCAGTATTGATGTAGTCAGGATTTACCGTTTGTATAATTTGGCTACACTTTGCCCTGTACAGCTGTTCCTAAAATCTAATCTAGACACAATGAAAAAGAAGACTTGATGAGACTTATGACGGATGAAAGGGGGAAAACAGCAGCAGTTCAGCTCGAAACATTTGTTTACCCGTAGAGAATGTGCTTGTGTTTGTCTTAACTTGAAATTGACCTGCGCATTCCTTATTAATCATCTAGGTAGTCTACAGATTGAATAGAAGTATAACGCAGCGAATTTTACTTGATTATCAACTTGACAAAGTTCTTTTCACTTGCGTAAGCAATGGTAATTGATTGAGGTCGTCAACATTTTCATGTTGTCCATTTTGGGCCATGAAGTTTGAATGGCAGAGAAACTGTTTTTTGAGCACATGATTCTAGCTTTAACAAGCGGACGATAATAGCCTAGGCTTCTGTTAGTGTTTTAATTCAAACAGCCCTGTATGTGTTATGGGACTTGGTAAATATTGGGAAAACTGAATCACTGTCCATCATATGCTCGATCTAAACAAAATATACAATAATCGAACCGGAGTTAACCTACTTAATTCCGTGTGTAAGCTACAATACCATTGGCACAGTTTACGAACAAAATATCTGGCTGGTATCACACTTTTCTAAAAAGGATACGGTTTAAAGCGGGACCACCCCAAAAACAGTTTACGATCTTAAA